GCAAGCGATGTCCACACAGTATACAGAGAAATTACCACCGACGCAAGATGTAGTCACTGAATGCGTGAATGGTTTTCATCGCCTTGGGTTTCCACAATGTCTGGGAGCAATTGGTAGGCAAATGGAAGGTTTCCCCTGTTATTATTAAAATAATGTAGACATTAATTTAGATGGATGTCACATCGAAGTAAAACCAAATACGACTGATGCAACCGACTACTACAATTATACGGGATGGTATTCTGTGGTACTTCTTGCGCTTGTGGATTACAGGTACAAAGCACATATATTTGTTTGTTACCGTTTATTTCTTTTTTTAATAACAATATATTATATGCACAGATACGGTTTTTTATATATAAATATTGGTGCTCCGGGACGTTGCAGTGACTCCCAAATATATAATTCATCCCTACTTAAGAACGTGATAACTGAAGACGAAGTATTGGCGGCCAATAAGAAGAGCATATGTGGTGTACAAATGCCGGTCTATATCTTAGGAGATTCTGCATTTAGATTTTCCACCACTTTAATGAAACCATATGCCTTTTCTACGGCCTTGACGGAGAGACAAAAATTGTTCAACTACAAACTATCAAAATGCAGAAGAGTGGTAGAGAACGCTTTCGGTCATTTAAAAGCCCGCTTTCGTCTCATTGGAAAAGGCTTAGATAACCGAATAGAGAACGCGCCGATCATTATTCGAGCTTGCTGTATTTTACACAATTTTTAAAATGAAGAAAATGATCATATCAATCAAATTTGGTTGGAAAATTTGCAAGAATTTGACCGAAATCGGGAAACCCCTTCGCGAAATGTTGTACTTGGCGATAACGAAACCTCAGCTGAAACCATAAGACAATCGCTGTGTTCTTATTTTGGTAAGTAAAAGCATTGGGAAATTAATTAATAATTGTTTTTTCTTTTTCTTTTATTAATTCAAGAAGTTTACAGACGTACATAAATCTTACCTGTGGCATTTGAACATCACTACTAGTGTGAAAATTTCCGACAAAGCTGAATATGAAGTGAAAAGCAAATAGAACAGTGTTTGCGATAAAATATTTTATTTTTGTTTTTAAGAGGTGACGAAAAGTGCAGTCAATGTAATTTATATTAATTCTATATATTAATACGCTAACATAAATTTTGTCTCCGTTCGTTTGGCGATTCTACCCAACCGATTTCAAAACCAAAAACACCATTGGAAAGGCTTTTTTCTCTAGATGAGCAGAGTTTTTATGGTTTCAAAATTGGTTGAAAATTACGACCAACTTGTCGTTTAAACATTTCCGATTTGTGTATAGATGTTGCTGCAACATGTTCAATTTGACATGTTTCGCATGTTGTTTCACTTCACATTCGAAATTAAGCTTTGAAATATAGACAAATATGAAGATGAAGAAATAAATGCTAACGATGTAGTCAAAAAAAGTGAAGATAAAGACGAAAATGGAGACAATGACGGATAAATAAGAATTAGGGCAACTGAAAGGGTAAGACCATTTCTTGAATTTATGAAGTGAAACTTCTTTAGGCAGTTGGTTGGTTGGGAGTAAATTGTCAAATTCAAGGGGAATAATGAACAGGAAATGCTTCTCAGCGGTTTAGCGGTTTGAGAATAAAAACAAAAACAAAGATGCCTAGAGATACAGGCAAAAACGAAGATCAAGGTAAATTTAAACACTTCAAGGTAACGGTGAAGAGGAATATGCAGAAATAAAGATAAATATGAAGAAAAGGATGAGGATGAAGATCGATATTGTTATCGATATAAAACTCGATATTTTTATTGATATAATAATCGATATTGCTATCGATAAAATAATCGATATTGTTATCGATACTGTTATTGATTAAATAACCGGTACTGTAGTCGATATAATAACCAATATAATAATCGATATTGTTATCGATACAATAATGGATATTGTTATCGGTATAATAATTGATTAAATAATTGATTTTGTTATCGATTTAGTCATTTATATTGTTAACGATATGTGCAATAATCGATACTGCTGATTGTTATATTTATCGATGAATTAATCGATTTTACAATCGTTTTATATTTCTATATGTTTATGGATATTGCTATCGGTATTTTTATCGACACAGTTATCAACAGGGTTATCGATATACTAATCGGAACATGGAATGTGATCACATTACATGACATCACATCACATTTTATCACATGATATGAAGAGACATCACATGAGTTTACATCTCATAATATGATATCACATCACACGATATCACGTGACATGACATTATATGATATGACATCACATTATATGGCATGACATCACATGACTTGACATCACATGGTATGACATCATATGACATGACATAGCATTACATGACGTGGCATCACATGATATGACATCATATGGTATGACATCATATGACATGACATCAGAGGATGTGACAACAAATGACATGACATCCTATCACATCACATAAAATCACGCCACATCTTATCACGTCATCGCACCTCATCTCATCTACGTGAATAGCAAAAGAAAAGGATATAAGCAAAGATGTGAAAGATAAAAGCAAAGATGAAGACCAAGGTAAAATTACCGATTTCAAAACCAAAAACACCGTTAAAAAGGTAATTTTCTGTAGATGAGGAGAGTTTTTATAGTTTCAAAATTGGTTGAAAATCGTCCTTTAAAAATTTCCATATTGTGTATGGTTGTTTTGCAACCTGTTCCATTTAAGCTGTTTCGCATTTTGTTTTACTTCGTATTTGAAATTAAACTTTGAAATAAAGATAAATCTGAAGACGAAGAAACCAGTGATAACGATGAAGACAAAAAAAGGCAAAAGTGAAGATAAAGACGAAAATGGAGATAAAGGCGAAAATGGAGACAATGAGAAATACATAAGAATTAAGGTAACAGAATTGAAATTTTCCGATAGGAATCGAAATAAAATCAGCCATAAAGGTTACTGAAATTGATCGAATCGTAAAAGTTTATAATTATAGAAATTTATCCATGCTTATTAAGTTATCGCAACGTATCGAATTATTCAAACTGATCAATCTTTATTGAGTTGTCGAGATTGAGTATAGACACAGAAACGTAGTTGTCCAAGTTTACGGATAGTTATGGAGCTATAAAAACGTGTGGGATTAACGAAATTTGTCAAGTTAAAGAAATGTATCAAGTTATCGATATTTATTGAATTATCATTATATATAGACTTAACGAAATTTATCGAGGTGTCGTAATTCATGGAGTCCTTTCAAAAGAGTCATCGATAATTATTGATCTACTGAAATTGGTTGGTTCAACGAATCGAAGTTTATGGAATTTTCAAAATATATCGATTTATCGAAATTTCAAGGTTATATAAGCTTATCGATTTATCACTGCTTATCGAATTTTATCGTGTTAACAGAGTGCAACGAGTTATCAAAATGCTTAGATAGTTTTCGAAAAATGTGGAGCTGTCAAAAGTAAAAATTTATAAAGGTATCCAAAGAATTTACATTTTTGAGTTATCGAAATTTATCGAGCCCTCGAACTTCACAGTTATCGAAATTGGTCAAGTTAACGAATTTTGTTGATTTTAGTGTTCTTGAAATTCATCGAACTATCGATATGTATCAAATCATTGAAATTTATCGATAAACTTGAATGTATCGGGTCAATTCCTAGTCCTGCCGAAGTCCTGCAAAGACCTTTACAGATAAAGAAATTTTAGTTACGTTTTAGTTCCAAAGCAGAAGATTTTCCGGCTGGTTAATTTGTACCGTATAAGTTTTGCTACGTGTTAAGTTAGAAAACCTCTCCAAGGCTTCTAAAACTAGAAAAACTCTCGAATTTCGACAGTAACTGGCACTCTAGCTTAAAAAATTATTCATAATTCTCTTTAAAAAAAAATTTGCATATAGCTCTTAAACCCCTAATCCGGTCGGAAAATGTTGATAACATGGATGATGATGGATGAAAATTGCTAAGAATCAACGGTGTTTTTTAGCTACTCCAAACTTGCTCTTTCTTGTACTAGAATTCAATGGGCTATAAAACTGCATACGCAAATTTTTTCCAAAAACTGTTTAAGAAAAATATTTAAGAAAATTTGCAAAATTTTTATAATTTTTGCACAAAGTTGAAAGTGTGAATTTGTATCGTGTTTTTTATAGAATGAACTATGATTTTATAGGAAATAATTTAAATTAAATAATTTAAAACTAAGTAGTCAAAACTTGTTAATATGTGGCGGTCTTATAATTATGCAACGCAGTGTAGTGTTATTATTTAAATACAAGATTAATTCTTATTTAAAAAAGATATTAAGGCTCGTTTTACTTCTTCATTATCTTTTGCGATTCTTTCTTGAACCTCTGCTTTCTTTCTTTCAATATCTATTAATTCCTTTTCATTCTCTTCAGTTCTCTTCAGATGTTCGGCAATGTCCGACGATAAATTGTCAAACTTCTCTAATAATTTTTCTTGAAAATTAAATTTTCTTGTTTGTTCCAGCCGACGCTGATGTTGAAGGTACTGGTGAGGGCAGTGGCGACGAGGGTGATGGCAACGGTGTTCCTGGGGACGGTACAGATGCAGTGGATGACGATGCTTTTGATGAGTCTGTTTGAAAGAAACATTTTTGTGAACATTAAAAATTTAATACAATGAAACGTTTTTTAATTGTAAAATGAAAAGATTTTTGCTTATTGTATATCGTTACCTTAATTCACAAAGGTCAAAACCAACGAATTTTTTATTTTACAGGAGCAAAAAACCATATAAAAGGTGTATCAAAAACAGGTAGGACCTTTTAAAAAGTACCATGTAACTCTGTTGTTTTTAATGCTAAAACTTTAAAATTTGTATTGAAGGTGTAGTTTAACATATCCTACCAAAATGTGTGAAAACCCCAGTTTAGAAAAGTATTGCTTAGGGCCTTTGTGAATTAAGGTAACGATACGATAAAGAAACGTGTTAAAAAGGTTAATGAATTGGCAATTTTACGAGAGTGCCCTATATAGCTGCGGGCAATAAAAATTTTAATCAGATTTTTTAGGAAATTTTCGAGTGCGGAGTGTTGTGGCCCATTAAATTTAAGAACAATAAAGTGCAAGTTTTAAGTTGCTAAAAATTACCGCTGATTTTTTTCCCGCTGAAGGTGTTGCGGGTTTCTTCCATATAAAAATAAATTAGGGCTGTTCAGGATATTGGCCATATGCTCTTGGATTTGCATAGTTGTAAATTCACAACAATAAAATGCACGCGGTTGCCATGGCAGCAAGCAAAAAAATTGCAATTGCAATTCCAACTGCAAATCTAAAACCATTTCCACAACATCCTGAACAGCCCTATTGTGTTAAAAAATTTGTACATTATCACACCAAAATTGTATGGGCCAGAAACATAAATGTGCAAATTTACCATATTTTGAGTTATTGTGTTGTCTGGATTAATTTTTGGATGTTCTACGTTATAAGTAAACCAAAAATACAATGCATACACGGATAGCACATATTTCAGAATGCTAATTACATGAACTTCCCAAAATTTTCATTTTTGCACATTCACTTTTTTGGCTTACGGGGGACGATATGTACTCGTATGTATGTATATGCAAGTGATTCCAAATAAACAAAAACATACGTACCATCAATGCTTTCAAGCGTGAGCTCCGTGTGCAGATTTGACTTGAACCCTCCAATTATTTGGTGCATCCTCTCATAGTGCACCCATGTAGAAGGCGACCCACCGGAAGGACCCATTTCTGCCGTTTCCTTTCTACAAGTTTTAATTGAAAAATTAAGATTCTACATATAGCATTTTAGGTGAATGTTTAGTTATTTGCCCACGGTTTTTGGGTTGGTCGGCGGAGGGAGAGGGGGCGTGATTCTTGATATTGAAACCAGTCAAGAATGATAGAATACAAGATTGCGCCCATCAGAGAGGATGTTTGAGAATAACTTTTGTGTGACGTCACACTGGTGCAACTGCGAGAGAAAAATGCCAAAACGTGAGCAAGAACGGAAGAAGCAGAAAAAATGTTGCAAGGAAAAGGTAAACAAGTTGTACGAGTGTGACGTCATACAAACAACGATTCTGTCAAATTCACTGAGAGAGGAATAGCGGTACCGTGATGGGCGCAACCTCTATTTCTCTCAATCGTGGAAACCAATAGAGAGCAGAGTTCAAACTTTATAAAAAGTCATACTTGACTCCTCGAAGCCTCGTACAGACTCCTGGGGAACCATTGGAAAACGGTCTAAACTCGGTAAACAGTTTTTTTTTGTGCAAAACACCTTACCGTGTTGGCAGCCTTCGAATTTATTAATAAATTAGGCAAGGAAAATTACAAAATTAATTTTTAAATAATGCTTAGACCTTTGACTACAAATGTGTGTGTTGGGTCACCCATTTGCACACAATAGCAGCCCGAAATCATTGGGAAAATTACTAAACTATACCCGCATTTAATTCTTGTATGAACATACCTGTAGCGCTGCGAAAAATTTTGCAATTTAACTTGCACATCCCTGGCATTGTGGGTGTACCCAAGCTCTGCGAGATTCGCTGCCATCTCCGCGTAGACGTGCGCATTCTTCCGCAGCCCACGGAGCTCCCCCACTCGGTCTGCCCATAGCTCGAGTATGGCTAATTCCGCCCCCTCACTCCATCCCATCCTCTTCCTCTTGAGTTTTGGTTCTATAATGGATTAAATTCTACAAAAGTGCATTATTTAAAGCATATTATCATGGAAAATTTGTTAAAACTTACTCACCATCAATTTTGGCGGCCATTATTTGTTTACTTTTTATAATAATAATTTAATCTCATTTAGATTTTTTGAGATTTCCTTTCAATGACATTTCGTTTTCTCATCAAACATACCCTTTGCTCTTCTCATTAAATATACCTCACAGGGTTGCATAGCGAATTTGACACAAATTATGTATTAATTGGCAATTAATAAATTGAAACTTTGTATGGTAAATTGGATAACAATTAAGGCTTAAATTGCCGAAAAGGTTCTTAATTGCCAATTAGGTCCCTGTTTGAACATAGTCTTATGCATTTCCCGCATAAACAAAGAACAGCGAACACCCACACGCATTTATATTGCATTTCCCCATAAACGAAGTGCAGCGAACAAACACACGTACTTGTGTTTAAAAGTAATTCGCTCGTTCTTAATTGGGTATGCATTTTTTATGCAATTCTCAAATATCTCTTCACTGAACTTAGTGAAGTGATAAGTCGCTGGCATTTTCAGCCATGGTCAACGCTAAACCAGCTTGGCTCGTGACAATGGTCAACGCTAACCCAGCTTGGCTATCACACGGTGCTTTAAGCATCGCTCTCACTCCACTCCCGGAGTATTTTTTGGTATGGTAGTAAGCGACGGCTTGCAAGCCACACAGGGGCTCTGCATTAATGCATCCCCAAATAAATCCCCGCTCATTGCACAGTAGCCTACGGCAGCTAGAGCAGGACTCCTCCAATGGAGTCCCCCAATAAATAAATGGTAGAAGGTCCACATCGTGCGCTACCACTTCATAAGCCTGCTTGCATATCTCTCTCTCTCTCTCTTTCTCGCATATCAGGCATATGGAGTACGTGGTTGACTTGATGTGCACCTATAAACCATGTGGGCTCATTGAGCTCAATACCTCAACACTCACAAAGGTAATCCCTACCTCCTCTACTCCTCTAACTCGACCAAACCTCTAAACCTGGTCTCCCGCTCTCCCTCAGCTAAACATAAAGTAAATAACTCAATTATTCGATTAATTGGAAATTATTATGATTACTCAAAAGTTCAGGCCTGTATTGGCTAGCATGAGGAGAGGATCCGCACTACTGATAAAACAAGTAGGACTGAATGGAAATAAAAAGTAATCAAATTGAAGAACAAATTACCAATTTTCCAAACTTGATAAAGAAGAAAAAAGTTACCAATTTTGGTTAAAAATACAAAGCGGCAACGCTGGTAGCATAGTTGTAATTTTTAACTCTGCGGATTCGCATCGTCAGGTTCGCGCTAATACGCGCTTCACTTCAACAAGTTTTTAGTTTGAAAATATATTGAACAGGGTTGTCACCTGTTTTAAAAGTCTGATTTAATTACAGTATACATAGCCGGCCGTCTTCACGTGCTGATTGTACCTAAAATCGAGTGACTGTACCTAATGTACCTTAAAGTCATCACCCGTCAAAAGGCACAATTGTACCTACTTCTTCATCCCTGACTCGAACGTAGCAATGCTTTGATCTATATGAAACAAAAACAGAGACGAAAGCGAATAAATGGAAAATTTTTTCATTCTCTTATATCCCGCTAAGACTCTGCCTATCGAAATGACCATAGCAATGCTTTGCTAAATGTAAAAAATTTAAAGTCTTTCGACGCAAATATTTCGAAAGTGGTGCAATAAATCTTAAATCTGAAAAAGGTTTAAGATCGAGCACTTTAATGATGTCTCTGTACGACTTCTAGGTCGCTGGGAATAAGCACCTTGTTTCAGAATAATATATAGATATTGTACTGGGTTTAAAAATTTCTTATTTCTGAAATATGCCCAGGAGCCACCAAGGAATATCAAACAGGTAGTGGCACTAGAGCAAAAACTTGTGCTGCTGAGTTGGGCGAATGTTCCAAAAGCTGCTATTCAATCGCTTAGTTTGTATGGAAAAAGGTTTAACTTGCTACATTTTAACAATTTAGAATTTGTGTGACAGTAAATTTAAAATATTTGACATTTTCAAGACCAAATAATTTGAAACATAACCAAATCGGATGCTCTACTGATAAATACTACCTGTTCAATGTGCCTTGGTTGCTACCTATTAAAAAAATGAAATAAAATTTAATTCATAATGTAGGTTAATGAAATAAGTACGATAAGGTCAGAGGCAAGAGATTTACTTATTACTAAACAATATTTGGGAGGGTCGCCACCTGCCTGAAATGTCGAGTTTAGCTAACTTATACATAAGCCCGAAGACAATGACAATGGGAAGACGAGCCCGAAGCGAAGCTATTTTTAATGGAAATATTAATTTTTGCAGTATGAAACGGAATATACATAAATCGACGTAATAGCAGATGGCGGTGGTAAAATAATTATTCACAGAAGATACTCGCCATGGTAGGTATATACACACAAATATGTATTTGAATTGATATATTAAATTTAATAAACTCAAACCGAAATATTTCATGTACAACGTGTGCTAATATTTGCGTGGGTACCTGCCGAATCCGGTCCTACTCCACGGCGCTCAATAGCACAGTGGATCAAATCAATGCGAGGATCGGCGCCCCGAAATGCAACCATCTCGGTACCAATTGGCAGTACGGAATGGACACACTTACCACCTTGGTAAGGTTCGAGGCCTATCTAAACCTCTGCCGTACTATGGGTCCGACACCCGGTTGCAATGCAACTCCACATCGAGCCACACGACTCTCCCCACATTTGGGTTTAAACCACAGCCCCGTTGAGCCAAACCGCACGAGCAGATTGGAGCAAGCTCCATGGGCAACTGCTCCCCGTGGTACCAGAATTAAGTCTCTGGTCAGCCCTCGTAGCCGTAACTACTCCCAGTTGAATTTCCATACCACTCTGGACTGGTCGGCCCCACCCATCAATTTACCCCTTAACTGATTGCACGCTTTCTTCGTCTAAACACCTCTCGTGCAAATACCCCAGATTTTCAACAGGCTGGCTCGAAAAGACCATCGTCAAAAATACACCGTCCATCAGTCCATCTAATCCCCATCCCAGATAAATCCCTAACGTCAGAGTACATCGTAAATTCACAAACAACGTGTCTGGAATCCTCGCAGACCTCAAAATGCGACGTACCTGACCCACAACACCAAGAAGTCGCTGCTCAAGGTGCACAAAAAGCAAACCAAAGTTCGTCCGCTCGCCCATCAAGAGCCCCAAGTATTTCACCTGCGTCTCGTACCTTAGACTGGTTTCGTTTAAGCGGATGACCGGCGGGCGACCCTGCAACAATTTTTCCTTGAGGAGCATCATCACTGTCTTCTCTACCGACACATCAACATCCACATCCGCACCCTATGCACTAACCACGCTGAGCAGCTGATTTCCCTTCAGCTCTATTGCAGACCTCGACTGCCCCTCTACCAGGATGAGAAGGTCATCTGCGTACGCGTTAAAATTGCAAAGTGACTCACTCTGCCTTAGCAGGGTATCCATCATGAGCTTCCGAATAAATGGGCCATAAATGGAACAATGAGGACAACCCTGAGGACAACCACGGGCAACCTCAACTCTACCCCCTCCCCAACTAAAGCGGCTCTCCTGCCAGAGAAGTAGCTACGCCATAAAGCCAATTCTGGATACCCAAGTCTCTCTAGTAGCTCAATGACCCCATCCCAACGTAAATAGTCGAAAGCCCCCTTAAAATCAACGAATATGGCAAGAACATACCTACAGGTACTATTCTTGACACCTCCTTTAACGTTAAGCCAAGCATCCTCAATACTGCGTCCTTTCCTAAACCCATACTGCCTATCGGACATACTACCCCCAGTAAGCTCCTGAAGCCTTTCCACCATGACCGGTTCCAGCACCTTTCCAAGCACTGGAAGGAGACTGAAGCCCTGATAAGATCGAGGATCACTCCTGACCTTATCGGGCGACCTCAGAAGAGGAACAACCCTAATTACCTTCCACTCACGTGGAAAATATCCGTCACACATGCATTTATCATATATAGCCTCCGAGTACTCCGGAATGAACTGCCGCAAGCATTTTCACATCTCTCCGTTCAAACCATCAAAACCCGGTGACTTTCCAGACCTAACCATGCCAAATGCATACCCCAACTCCCTAACATCTAGTGGAGGGACAGGTACCACCTATGCTTGAGGAACCTGAACTTCCGTACTAGGAAAGCACCTAACAAGACCCCCGCACACTCCCTGCAAGTTGTTAACACGTAGCCACCAACGCTCACTTCGGAGCCAGCGACAGATCCTATAGACCTGCCCCCAAGGGTCGTCCCTATTTTCCCCCACAAACCTTCTCCACTCTTCCTCCTTCACCCGTATAAGCATCTCCATATACTCCCTCATTTCCCGAGACCCTCACCCCCCGCCCGCCGCCCGGAATAATTGCCACGCCCTCTCCTCTTGTGGGCGGAAACATTAAGTCGTAGCCTTTATTTTATTAGAAAAACCTGAATATACAATATGGGGAAGATTGGATCACTATAACGTCCAAAACTCACAAAAAATGTGGGCCAGTCATTAAATGTGATGGAATTTTGGGTAATTTTTGTTTCCTGCTTTCCACTCTCAGAAAACAAAGGTAATACTATAAAATGACTTAGGTGTAAATGCTCCCTTTTTCCCCAATGTTTGGTGAGATTTTTTCATTATTCGAAAAATTCTTTTCGCGAAATTATGCAAAAAGAAGCTGAAAATCAAAAATTAAGAAAATCAAAAATTACACATATTTGCAAAGTCGCGCGCAAAGATCAAATTATATATTCGAAAACTACATAAAACTATCTAAAACATTCGTCTGATTTCAAGACCTGACGGACCGGAACTCACACTTTTTTTTACTAATAATCTTTAGCATCTGCATTTTAAAGTAAATTTTTTTGTTAAGAAAATAGGAAAGTACCAAAGAAATGATAAAT